TACTATACACACTCATACATTTGTCTTATTACTTACATTTTTTATTAACATTACTTGATTAGTTAATTAGTATTCCCACTAATTGTTACATTTTTCATTATACTAGTTAATTAGTTCATTAGTATTCTTGTTACATTTTTCATTATACTAGTTAATTAGTTAATTAGTATTCTTGTTACATTTTTCATTATACTAGTTAATTAGTTAATTAGTATTCCCATTAATTGCTAAAACAACTCTACTTCAAAAAACTAGTTAATTGTCATTATAGTTAAAGTCACATTATAATAGTTTCAATTTATATTTGAACGAAAAAAATAGTAGTTCAATCATTTAATTAAAGTACTTAACATTTTATTTAAGTAGTTTTCACTAAATTAAAGTACTTGAAAAGTTGCTATAATTTAATTACTCACATTTTAGTTAAAGTCACACTTGTTAGTTTTAAGTATTTATAACAAAATACTATTGAAACCGAAGACCGGACTGTGGTGGGCAACTTGCAAGTGGTGCAAGAAAGAGTGTAGCTTGGGGCGTTCACACGGATACGGGATGCCAATAAAACATATGAAGTCCTGTGACAAAGGGAAAACAACAACCAACGGTGGCGGAAATCCCAATTGATATTTATTAGAAAATGTATTTCATATTGTTATTTTTTTCTCAATTATCAAATGTAGTTCCTATTTCAAATAAATGCACTTGAACTTTGTTTTTAATAAGAATTTGTATAATCTATAATAATTTAAAAAAAAATTATGACCCGGCCTGACGGGTGGCCCGGTCCGAACCGGCACCGGCCATAGCCCGGGCCGGTCCCGAGCCAACCTCTACCAGACCCGAGGCCCGACCGGGCCTTGGCCCGGCCCGGCCCGGGTACATCACTAAAGGTAAGGTAGGGCAAAGTAATAAGTTGGTAGGCCCCATGTTATAAAAATCAATAACTTTTTCGTTTTCGCTCCAATTTTTTTAAAAAATATATCAAAATTCATAACTTTTTATTGTCTTTCATATGACATCAATATAGAATATGTAAATTTTAATTTTTTTAAAGGCTTATTAACTCTTAATTTTCAATCTCAATACGAAATATTTCATACAAAGTATTATATAAAGAAATTAATTCTATTATATGGGGAAAGTAAAGAAAGAGGATGAGCATGTGACTTGGTAATTTTGAAAGACGGTAATTATTTTTAAATTTTATATTGTTGTGGCTATAAATGTGTACTCATAAGACCATTTGGAGTGGTGTGGAGGTAAAAATGTCAAAAAAATCTTACGTTTTAGGCGAAATATGTTTTTATATCGAAACGTTAGAAAAATTAATGAAATTTATTTAATTTTACATCCGCAATGTATATTTTTATTTCATAATTATTCAAGGAAGAAATTATAAGGAAAACATTACTTATAATAATTTAGTTATTGCTTTACTAAATTGATATATACAAAAATTTGTTTGGTATATTTTAATGACAGTGCTGGAATGCAGGAAAAACTAGGAGTTAAAACACTCTTTTTGTATGGACTGGGCCAATTTTTGACATTTTTACCTCCACACCACTCCAAATGATCTTATGAGTACACATTTATGACAATTTCGTATAGACTGGGTAATTATCGTCTCTAAAAATTACCAAGTCACATCCTCATCCTCTATCTTTAATTTCGCCATATAATACAAATTGTTTCTTTATATAGTACACCATCCGTTCTTTAATACTTGTATGTCTCTCTTTTCATTTTGGATTGTTTTCTAATATTTGTCTCCCTTTCCATTTTTGGAAAGTTTTTTCAATAAATATACTCATTTACCCTCATTCTCTTTCCTACTTTTTCATTCTCTTTCATACTTTTTCATTTAAACACAACCTACTACATCTTTTACTTTACCCCTATTATTTTTTTCTTAAAACTTGTGTCAAACCCTTTAAGGACAACTAATGGAGAACGGAGGGAGTACTCTGTATGAAATATTTCGTATTGAGATTGAAAATTTAGAGTTAATAAGCCTTTAAAAAAATTAAAATTTATATATATTCTATATTGATGTCATATGAAACACAATAAAAAGTTATGAATTTTGATTTTTAAAAAAAAAAATAAAACGAAAAAGTTATAGCCTTTTAAAGAAAAAATGTGATTTTTATAACATGGGCCCCACCAACTTATTACTCTACCTTACCGTACCTTGCTATGCTGCTTTTTTCCCTCACATGCAAGAGTCGCCAAATGGGTTGGTGGTTTGTAAGCAGGGACGGATTTAAGGGGGGGCGCGGGGGCGACCGCCCCCCTTGGACTTTCAAATTTTTCTATTATATATGTAGTATTTTCATAAAATTTTCATACTTTAATTAGATATATATGTTTTCGCCCCCCTTGACTTTTAGTTTTCAAAGTTAATATATAGTCTTACACGGTGTAATACTTAATTGGAGATTTAGAAGAAGTAAGATCTAAAATAATTTAGATAGTTTAAGACTTAGGGTACCCATTATATAAAAATTCCTAGGTTTTGTAATATTTGATTATCTTTATAGATAATTAGTTTTAAATTTTGTTAATATGTACCATATATATGAATTAACAATACTACATATAATATTATTTTAAAGATAATAATCTTATACATACTATTGTAATATATATTAAAAAAACTTCTCGTGACCCATGAACACCCTCCTTGGTAGACAAAAACTACAATTCAAAAACAATTTCTTTATTCTGATAAGATTCATGTGGTTAAACAAGACATAAGTTATTTAAAAGGCATCGATTGATGTTTAATTACCTTTTATATTTTTTAGTTTCAAATAATTCGACAAAATGTTTTATATCGTCTTCTATTTTTTGAATAAAAATTAGCAGCGGAGCCCTAAATAGTGAAAAAATTTCGTCTCGCTATACTAGCGGAAAAAAATTGCCCCGCAACATTAGCGAAAAAAAATTCTCCCCGCTACACTAGCGATTTTTCCCCCTACACTAACGGAAAAATTTCGCCCCCCTTGACTCTAAATCCTGGATCCGTCCCTGTTTGTAAGTGCCACTTCATTTGGCAACTTTGGTCAACCAGAGTTAAATCCAGCAGTACTTTGGTAAATAGTTTTAACTGGACTTTAATTTCGTAAATAATTTTTTATTTGACATTATTTAAAAAAAACACGTTGTGCAGACCATAGAACAATTACGTGTTATGTGTACAAAAAAATGTGTATACATTTCGTCTGCGTGTAAAATAGGTCATGGAATAATTTGACGTTATCCTGCCCCGACTCCTAAGAAGGTTCTTTCGCAACTTGCCACTGAGGAGCGTGCAATAATTGAAGAAAATGTTGGGTCACCACTTTGTAGGTTGACTAAATGGATGGAGTAGCAGTGCCGCACGTTTTTCCTAATCCCGAGTCTTCCTCTGACTTGTCAATGCCCTTTTTTTTTTTTTTTTTTTTGCAACATGATACGCAGTATCCATCAAAAGGTACTCCGTAACTCGGTAGCTGCATAGAGGGAAAAGAAATTCTTTGTCAAGAAAAGAAAAAAGAAATTCTTTGGGGCGAAAAAGAAAATTTAAAGATAATATTGGAAAAATGAAGTACTATTTACATACATCGTCTTTTTATTCTGACTAGCTGATCTAGATTTTATCAGTTTTATTTTCTCTCGAGAACAAATTATTGAATTTTAAGAGAATAAATATGTTCTTAGAGAGCAAATTGTGTCACTAGGGCAATACTTGGTTTGTGCATATCTCCCTGCATAAAAAGTCACCCTGAAATCTGAATTGATTAGGCGCGCCCCAAGGTATAATTTATTGCGCAACTGCAGTGAAGATTATCACTAATTGATCAACATTCGAGATACAAAAGTGAAATTTATTATTAGAGAAAAAGGATAACATAGGGGCGAGAATTAAGAGTTGTTTTCACAGGTTGAAGATATTGTCTATGATGAATTATGCTCCTCTCCATTGACAGGATTGTCTAGTAAGAGAGTGAGAGATAAGAAGATGGTGGATGGTGTACGGAAAAATAAAGAGTCTGGTATGATTTGTGGTTTGTTTGAGAGAGATATAGTAAAAACGAATTAAAAAAGAATTGGAGTAGAACATGACCATATAGTAAAAAAGAATTGAAGAGGATGAATTGAAGAGGATATCGTGTTAGCCATCATGAAAGTCAAGTTTTTTTTTAACTCCGTACTACATATTTTGATGATTAAAATTTTGAAGTAGCCCACATGAAAGTCAAGTTTTACACTACTTCCATAGTTCCATTCCAAAAGCAACTTCTCATTTTCATGAAAAGGCCACCGACATTTTTTATTTAAATATTAGGTTTCCAGCATTTTCTTGCATGTCCATTAATAGTACGTAGTACTTCATAAAAATCTCTCTAGCATAAATATATATAGCTCAAAAGAATTTGTTTTTCCCATGGGAGCATTAGTTATGAGGCTCTAAAGAACTCGTATATCGAGAGGCATTGAAACTAGTACTCCATCGAATAAAAAGGTTCCCACACAATTTAATGATCATAAAGTTAATTGATCCATGTTCGTAATTAAGTTTTGTTTATTAAATAAAATTTACATATTCAAAAGTTATGTTACAAGTTTTATAAAATTGCAAAAAAAAATTAAATTTGATAAAAGTTGAATATATAAAGTAAGATATATAAAGTAAAATATAAGAAGAGTTTACATTAGATAATTCTAACACCATTTCCAAAAAAGATACAGTCACATTAGATGATTCTAACACCAAATCTACTTCTTATAAATATAGATTTTTGACTAAAATACAAGACGCATTAAAAATCGTATATATTTATACTCGATATGATCACTACCTTTTCTGTGATTCAGCATCAAAGTCAACATTTGTGTGTTGGTCGTGGAGGCGGCCTACGTCTCCCTCAGTCTCCTCCTAAAACAATGAGTGGGGTCACGTTTATATCATTGAACACTACACACACAAATATATAGATTAAAAATCCTACCTTCTCAAGAACCAGCAAAGAGCTATGTAATATACTACGTAGATTAGAATCAAAACCAGCAAATCTGAGCTCTCGAGAAAAGCGGCCTCGATAAAATTGCCCAGCATGTCCATATGCACTTCATCATCCTCTACTCAAATCAGCCTCGCTTTCTTAACACTCTTAATCTTAACTCTCCCCTTCAATGGAGAATCCCAAACCAGTAGCCTGAATCCTGAAAAGTCAATCCTTCTTGATTTAAAGAATCAATTCTCAAACCCACCAAATATCTCCCACTGGACTCCATCTTCTGACCACTGTGCCTGGTCAGAAATCACCTGCAATGGCGGCGTGGTCACCGGAATCCATCTGGGCTGGCTACGAATCAACGCCACAATCCCATCCTTCATCTGTGACCTGAGAAATCTGACTTTCCTTGATCTGAACCACAACTTCATCAGCGGAGCATTTCCTACAGTTCTCAACAATTGTTCTAAGCTTGACTACTTGGACCTTTCTTATAACTTATTCAATGGCATCATCCCAGCTGATGCCACCAGCCTCCCTCCTAATCTTCAGGTTTTGAACCTTACCGCTAATTGGTTTATAGGTGGCATCCCAGCTGGAATTGGAGGCCTGGTAGCGCTAAAAGAGCTCCAGCTTACACAAGCTTTTGCAAATGGCTCATTCCCTTCAGAGATTGGGAGTTTGTTGAATCTTGAAGTTCTTGTTATGAACCAAAACGCCTTTTCACCCCAGGAAATCCCGCCAAGTTTTACCCAGTTGAAGAAACTGAGAAATCTGTGGATAAGTGAAGCCAATTTGATAGGCGAAATCCCAGGAAATATCAACAACATGGAAGCATTGGAGTTCTTGGATTTGTCAATAAATTGCTTGACTGGAAATATTCCCAGGGACCTGTTGTCGCTCAAGAATTTGACCACCGTTTACCTCTACAACAACATGTTGTCCGGGCCGATCCCTATGCCTGTTCAACCAGCGGATTTGAAACTAACTGATGTTGATTTTTCTAATAACAGCTTGACAGGAAGCGTCCCTGAAAATTTTGGGGAGCTGATGAAATTGGAGGAATTGACTCTATTCATGAATCAATTATCTGGCAAAATCCCACTAGGTTTGGGCAGGTTGCCAGCTTTGTCTCTTGTTAAGCTCTTCCAGAACAACCTTGTAGGCGAAATTCCACCCGATTTTGGCCGATTTTCGAAGCTTCAACTTTTTGATGTCTCCTCAAACCATCTTACAGGATCTCTGCCAGATGGATTGTGTGAGAACAAGGTGCTGAATCTCTTAATAGCCTTCAATAATAATCTCACAGGTCACTTGCCAAGATCACTTGAGGAGTGCAACACCTTGAATGTTGTCCGGGTTGAGAAAAACAACCTTTCTGGCGAAATTCCTTATGGTTTGTGGACATCTGTGAGTTTGGCCAAGTTGATGATTAACAATAACCAGTTCACTGGCCAGCTCCCACAAGGACTGCAGCTGCCCTCGAACCTATCTCTAGTTGATATCAGCAATAACAGATTTTCGGGTGGAATTCCTCCTGATATCTCCATGTGGAGCAATCTTATTACTTTAAGGGCAAGTAATAATCTATTGACAGGTGAAATTCCACAAGAGCTCACTGTTCTTAGATCATTATCTGTTCTTATGCTTGACGGAAATATGCTTTCTGGAAGCTTCCCCTTGAATATTACATCTTGGAAGTCTCTGTCCACATTGATATGCAGCAGAAATCAGCTTTCAGGGAAAATACCACCCGCATTAGGTCTTTTGCCGAACCTTAATCAGCTGGATCTCTCTGAAAACCGATTCTCAGGAGAAATTCCACCTGAAATAGGCGATTTAATAACAACTTCACTCAATCTGTCCTCCAATCGTCTCTCAGGAAAAATCCCCGAAGAGTTGGAAGGTGCAGCATTTGGGAAGAGCTTCCTGAATAACCCTTCTCTCTGTGCTGCTACACATACACGGGGACTCCGATTTTGCGATGAAAGATCTGGTAAGGTTTCAACCAAAATTACTGCCATTCTCGGAAGTCTAGCGGCGTTTCTATTTCTAGTCGTCGTTGCGTACACACTGTTTGTTTTCAGAAGCTACCAGAGAAGGAAGAAAGCGGCGGTCGAAGATTGGAAGCTCACCCCGTTCCACAGCCTGAGCTTCACGGAATCGAGCATTTTACCGAACCTGATGGAGAAGAATGTAGTCGGAAGTGGAGGATCTGGAAGAGTGTATGTCGTCCCGTTGAGTCGATCAACGGGAGAGAAAGTCGCCGTCAAGAAGATCTGGAGCAACCACAAGCTGGAAGAGAGCCTCGAGAAGGAGTTCCTCGCGGAAGTGGAGATACTCGGCACGATTCGCCATTCCAACATTGTGAAGCTTTTGTGCTGCATCTCCAGCGAGGAATCGAAGCTGCTGGTCTACGAGTACATGGAAAACCGCAGCCTGGATCTGTGGCTTCATGCAAAGAGAAGATCGGCTGACCAACTCCTGGATTGGCCGACGAGGCTGCGTATTGCAATCGGAACTGCTCGAGGGCTTTGCCATATGCATCACAACTGCTCACAGCCGATTGTTCATCGAGATGTGAAATCCAGCAATGTTCTGTTAGACTCTGAGTTCAATGCCAAGGTTGCAGATTTCGGACTGGCCAGAATATTATCAGGACATGGCGACTCTAACACTGTCTCATCGGTTGCCGGATCCTTCGGTTACATAGCTCCTGGTAAGCCACCATATGACCCATTATGTCTTAAGTTACCATTTCTAATTTCAAAATTCTTCTCCTACACAATTTTTTGTACGCATAATTTTTGTGAAACATTATTATTTATCTGTGAATTAGCTTGTTCATATGCAAAGCAGTTACAGACAAAAAAATAAGCTCACGGACGTTCCTTGTAGCAAGTTTTATTTCACCTTTTCATCTTCCCGTTCTGATTGCAAACATTTTCACCCTGTCTTCTATTTTTCACACTTTTTACACTTCCCCGACGTTATCAATTGGTAGGGTTTTTATTCAATTTCCCTGAAAAATCCACGGTTACAAATAAAAACATACCACGAAGTATGATTAAATTGCAAATACTTCTTTTAATTGACAAATCCATGCGCGAAATTCAAACATACCTTACATTCGGGACGAAGGAGTAAACCTAACCTTGAAATTTGAAATTTGAAAATTATCATAATTTTGTGTAATGTTGATTCCAGAGTACGCTCATACGAGGAAAGTGAACGAGAAAGTGGATGTGTATAGCTTCGGAGTGATCCTTCTGGAATTGGTGACGGGTAGAGAGCCGAACGACGAAGAAGAGGAGTGGTGCCTAGTGGACTGGGCGCGCCACCACGTGGAAGCAGGAATTGCGATTGGGGAAGCCCTAGACGAAGAGATCACGACGGCCAATAACTTGGGCGAAATGTGTGGCGTTTTCAGGCTAGGAATCTTCTGTACGGCTGCGAATCCGGCCAAAAGACCCACCATGAAAGAGGCTCTGCGGATCCTCCAACATTGCACCGATCTGTTGCCTAATGGAAGACAAAAAACAGATTTCAATGAGCATGACGGTGCACCGCTGCTCAAGAGTTCTAAACGCTGATATACATCGCATTTGGAAGATGGAGATGAAGGTTGTGATGAAGCCTTTTGATGTAATTTGAAAGGAGGTAAACTGAATTTCAAGAGTGCAAGTCTCTGAGTATTGATCATCTGGAGAATTTGGTTTAATCGAAGTGGGTAGTCAGGCTGGCCTCTGCGAAGCATGTTTAAGATTAGCATTACCTCCTTCCCACATTTCAGGTGGTTTCTTTTGGTTTGTCACAATTATTAAGGAAGAATGATCAAATAAAGGCTTCTCCTATTGCAAAGTAATCACATAAGCACATTTTTTACTCGATAAGGTAAATGATCAAACATGTACCTTTAGAACATTTCCAATTATAATAATAATGTACACGGTGCACATGTGGCACGAGAGATAATCATATAAATAATACTACCTCCGTTCCCCTACGTTTGAGACAAGAAAAGGTGGCACAGTTATTAATAAAAGTGAGTTTATGTGGTTGATATTGAATTGATAAAGTAAGAATAAAGTAGGAATGATTTAGAACCACACAAACTTTACCAAATAAGGTATGAAACAATCTTAGTGGGACGGACCGAAATAGTAAAATGAGACAATCATAGCGGGACGGAGGGAGTACTATTTTATACAATTATTCACTGCAATGTAAATCACATTGTGGAGAAAAATTTATCGAAATTGTATAAAATCATTCAATTAAGGAGAGATATAATTTATTTGTTAACATTTATGTGGTTATCTCTCATGCCACATGTGTACTCGTGCACATTTTAACATTGAAGATGCTTTTATACACCTAACTTCTGTTTATCTTTCTTTTTCATTTCTTTTCCTTTTGTTTTACTTCTTGTTGTACTTTTTACTAGTCAAGTTTTGTTTATCTTTTTTCCTCCTTTTTCCTTTTCTTTATATTTTTGTTCACTTGGTCTCTTTGAAGTCCCCTAGTTTTATTGCTTTTATTTCATTCTCGCCTCCTAACAGTTTGTGTTTGCAATTTTTTTTAAAGAAGTTTTCCTAAATGGGGTAAAAATGTTTGGAAATTCTAAAATAGGAGTAAATATATTTGAGAATTCTAAAATAAAAATGTTATATTTTTATTCTCAATTGTTTGTACTCCTATATAGGGAATTTCCCCCTTTCTTTATCATTTTTTTCAATTAATCGGAGACCATACATTTTGTCCTTCAATTGTTTTTATATTGAAATAGTTCTCATCTATCTAGTGCACAGTGGCGGACTTACAGTATAATGAGGGTGTGCACAGGCTACACCTAAAAAATGGTCATTAGCCAAGATGGTTTAGCAATTTTTTTTAGAATCTAACAGTGTTTAACGTCAGGTGTTCGAAGCTACTTGGGTGCATTCACTATTTTTATTTGGGCAATTCTAATTGCAGCCCTCCTTTTGCTATACAAAGCCACATCTTCCATACTATTAATTCCCATTATAGCCTTGGTGGCTGTAAACTCTAAACTCTAAAGTAATACAGAGACTTCCAGAACGAATACTTCAATCTTGTTCTTCTTAGTTTATGAATTGAATTTTGACTTCTGATAAGTTTATTTTGATTGTTTATTTCTGGTAGTTGATGATGATAATCAAGATCTCTATCGCCATGTAAGTGGCGGAACCACCCTGGGAACATATGTCCGGTCGCCGACAATGTTTTCGTTCACATACAATGTTTTCGTTCACGGACGGTAAGGTGACGACTTAGATCCGATGGAAATCTGGCTTGAATGTGTAAATCATCAAGATGAAGAAGATCTCCATCTCACTCCGTAGATCATAAATACGAGTATACGGTTAGAGAAGTGTACAAACTTATACGTACATCACAACCAACTCCTTATTCATGAAGAGAACCTCTCCTTTCATGTGAATTAAACTTCCAAAAAGAAAACATTGTTCCCCAATTTCCATTAGTCAATCCAATACTTACTAATAAAGAATGAATCAACAGCTAAATCCATAATTTTCCCGTTTTGAAGAATCAATACCAGCCCAAAATCAAACACATGAATGATATACTATGTAAAATTGAAGATGCCGACGAAGATGTCGTCAGGAAATTTCACCTGGCCATGGCTGCACCTGTTTCAAGTTCATGTTCTTTGACAGCACCGGCGGTTCTGCCGCTCCCGAAATAAAGGTTCATTGAAGATGACTGTGTTATTGATGGTTTGGAGGTTTTCATAAAGGGAGATGAAGGCCGGTGCAGTGGGATATGCACTGTTCTATTTTTCAGACGGTTTTCAAGAAGTCTTAAGGGTAAATTTGTGAAATTAATTAATTTGGGCTGTGTTTAGTAAAAAATCGGTTGTGTTTAGAATCACCCTTTTTATTTTTAAATACAGCATTCAAAATCGTTTTACCTTGCATCACTGCCCATGCTAAAGTTACGGATCCAAATTGGAAGCCCAAATTACAAATAGTGAAATAGGTATATATCTTAATGCCCAATAACATTTTTTTGAAACAAATTACTCAAATACGTAAAACAAAGAATAAGCAAACGTAAAATAAACTACTCACATCTTATGGGTCCACTAATCACTCCTCTTCAAGTACTTATTCTTTCAATTGAAATGACTAGGGTTCGGTATCATTGCCGCCTAGAGTAGCATCGTTTTTTCTTCCCAATTCTTTTTCGTTTCAGCCTTTGCTATAAGGTTAGGACGGGAACAGAGGTGGGTGCCGATGTCCTCGTTTGGATTCGTCGACGGAGGGGTTGTTCTTGTTCTTCCTCGATTTCTTTCTTTCGGTTCGTCTTTTTGTGGTGATCGAAGGCTCGGTCGCAGAGAGGTAATACACAGATAGGAATTCTTCTTCTTTTAATATATGGAGGAGGTGGTGGAACAATACAAAAAAATGGCTTTGGAAAAAGACAACAACACGCTCAACTTTGATGATGATGATGAGGAGGTAGATCCAACTATCAAAGAGGGGGGATTTCTGGTGGTGGGTGTCATCCTTACAGACCGGAAAGTCCGAATTCAGGCAGTACAAGACCTGTTTGCACTGCTCTGGAGACTAGGAAGAGGTATGGCAGTCAAAGAAATTGACGAAAAAAAGGTACCTATTCACCTTTTATCATATAGTTGATATGAATTGTGCTATGGAGGATGGTCCTTGGCTATTTGAGAGAAATCTGTTATTGCTAAAGGTGGTTGGCCCTAATGATATACCACATATAATGAATTTGTTTGAATCTGAGTTTTGGGTACAAGTGCACAATGTTCCGTATAAGTTCATGAATGTGGGCACTTCTAGAAGAGTGGGTAATTACATTGGGGAGTTTATTAGTTTTGATGAAAGCTATTTTAAGGCAAAATGGAGTTCATACTTGAGAGTTAGGGTGAAGATGGATGTGAGAAGACCTATGAAAACGGGTTTTACTTTGACAAAGGGGGCGAAGGACACTGGGTAGATTTCAAGGATGAGAAATTACCAATTTTTGCTTTATTTGTGGAATAATGGGACATTCTAAGAAATTTTGCCCACTGAAATATGTGGAAGATATTGTTCTGGAGAAATCTTTTAGAGCTGACCTAAGAGCAAGAGGAGGGGGGAAGACTAGCCCCACAAGAGGTAGTAAGTGGTTGGTGGATAAACAGGGAGGTCCGAGTCATCAGAGGAGGTTTCATCAAGAAGATGAAGGCATTATGAGACAAGGGCGCAAGGGGAACACAGCCGAGACAGAAGGTAGCGACACAAAGGAAGAGGACAGAAGCAGTTCCGTGGAGGTCTCAGTTGAACAGAAGCGCAGACGAGTCTGGAAGGATCCGGCGCAGGAGAACAACTCGGGGAGGAGATGGCACTGGACAAAGCAAAAAACGGGGAGGAGGCGGGTCTGAATTCCTAGGCCCGCCTGATGTGTTCGTGAGGCTGCGGGTGAAGAAGATCCAGTTTGGTGTTTATTTTCTGTTTGTTTGTATTGTTTCGTTCCACGTTCAGACTGTTGTTTTTGGTTTTTGGTTTGCTTTTTCTTGTAAGACTCTGGCATTAGGTTTGGGTGATGAGAGTTCCGCAGTAACCATTGTTGGCTCAATTATGCCCAGTTTAGGATCAGCGAGTTATACTGCTTTCGTGAAGGTGGTTAACTCAGAGTCTGGCCTAAGGGCGGATGGTTATCGGTGGTACTCTTGTTATTTTAGACCCTTGCTGAATGCTTCTATTCTAATACTAGTTTTCGTATCGCGCGTTGCGCGAGTATACAGCTGGTGCCCAATGTTATTTATAGTACATATTATCGTATTTATTTTTGTAGTTACTTTTTTGTAGTACAAAATCTAAAGATAAATTGGAATTTGCATTTCACATAGTACTCAGAGTTTACTTTTTTTTATAATTTATGGGTATATGAAGTCTCACATTACGAGGGAGCGCATCCCAAAGTCAACAACATGTGACATTGTTTGAAGTCTCACATGTAACACTTGTTAAGCATTGTATTCATTTCTGAAGCACTTCTGTGTGGCTTGGTCTGCACTACAATGGCAATCAGCCGTATAGACCAATTTAGTACTATCATTTTCATTTGTAATAGAATACACAATTTAGCAACTTGCTGAATTATTCAAAAGAAGATTCGAACCGAAGCATCTGTTAGTGTCGGATGCTCTTTAAACAGATCTGAATCACCATATAAGATAGCCTCAAGTACCTGATAAATGAAGTGAAATCAATCATTTATTTATGAGATAAAAGAATAACAGTAATAAGTGACTATACTATTAGCCAGGATAAAGCAGAATGTTTGCTTGCTTGTGACTGTACAGTTCTTATTCATGGGCTCCATTTGCAATTGGTAGAATCCCTATAGATCAATATTTCTCTTTCAGAAAGAACTCTTCACCTAAAATAGTAACAAAAAACTTCATAAAATCTTAAATGATTTTTCTAAAAAATACTTAAATGAATCACACTTAGTAAGAAATGTAATATTCTATGATATATAAACCGTTAAGTGTTTACATATATGGAGGAAAAGTTCAATTCCTAGAAGCAAAATGTTGCAAAGACAATAAATAAAGAGTACTAATCATAGATTTTTTTTTTCCGAAAAGAAAAAGGATAGAAAATTCTCTTATACAAAAAAATCTTTAAATTAGTTGGTTATACAATCAAATGCAGATAATAATAATGAACATTTGATGGAAAAATAGAAACTTTGTGTGTATAGTTTACACACACACACATAACAGCATTACTTACTTCCTCACATCTGAAAAATAGACACCTTGTGTTGCCCTTTTACCCCTCTGATTGAATTTATATTCCCGAATTACATAATATAATTATTATTTGTAT